TTCACAGCATCTACATCCCAATTGTTCAATATTTTATTACGTGGTTCTTTGAATGAACATTTAATTAATAAAGATATGGAACAAAAGCTAAAATGCGATTTGTTCAATGAGCTATGAACTATTTAACCCTTTCACTGCTGCCTAAATGAAAAAGTATAGCAGAAGACATTTATTCACTGTTCGTATTATACGAATGTCGTTCAGATCATATTATACTTACATTATATTCATACTACAAATTATATAAAGATCATGGTGGATCAAATTTGTTTATAAATACCACAAATTGAACAAAATAGCTCTCTTTCACGCACGTACGATCTAACCATTGAAAGGGATAACGTAAAAGGGGAACAATAAGTTCCAAGTCCATGAAAAGCTTTACACGACAAGTTTCCATTAATATTTTTGCATATAATTATAAACAAGTTTCTATTTCATAAAAGTTTTCGCATCGGAAAAATATGATGGCATCCGATGCGAGGCTTATCGAGATTGAACATGATCGTGTGTTGATTCTAGGGTGATATAGTGTTACGGGTGCACGCGGAAGACGGGGATAAAGGAGTTCCACGTGAAGTTGTGTACGGTCTCGTGTCGGAGGGCAATCCTTTCACGCTGTTTTTTAACGTTTCGGAAACTAGCGGTAAGAAAGTACATCATCGTTCTTAGAAGCCGTGTCGGAAGAACTGAGGCAATTGTCGCTGCATGACATCGTGTTTCCCTTCTTTTCTGTGTGCATAGAACGCGTCACGGGAATTGCCGTAACTGTGGTATCGAGGAATCTTGATTCGATACGTTTCGATCTTTCACCTTGAGTTTGACGAAAAGTGTATACTGAGCCCAGTTGCTTTAGTTCATTCATGTCGTGGAATCTTATTTTAATACGCAGACTGCGGATTTTATGCATTTATGACAAAATTGCGTAGTTGTAATTTTAAACAGTAGAAAGATTAAAAGAATTTAAAAATATCAATATATTATTTTTAATCCACTAACGTGACGAGATTGAATAAACTTCTTATCTAGTTCCTATTTCTTGCAGTTTAGCCAGACAATTTTTATTTTGTATAAAAATCCGCAGTCTATTAATAAGTAACATTTAATAGTGTATTCGTGTAGGTACACATATTCAGCTTTAGTTATTATAGTAGTAAATGATAAAAATTAAGCTTTAACTGTTACAGTAGATTCTTGATAAATCTAATTTCAGCTAACAGATAATTATATTCTGCTTATTGGATTTTACTTTGTTAGAGTCACGGTAATATTAATATGGAAAACGTTTTAATGTATACAGGTAGTCCCATGATTATGTTAACACTTGAGAAAGGGTGATTTCTGGGATCATTTAAAGTAACTTTTTCCTTAGCGAAAATGTGTGAGTTATTAACGAAAAACAGTGACCAATGAGAGACGAGCTCAGCTGGCGTAAGGCGGCCCAGCTAACAAGCGCGCGAAGCCCAGTACCGCTCATTGGCTCGGCCGTCTCAGAAATCACCCCTTTCCGAGTGTTAACATAATTATGGAACACCCTGTATAACATTTAATTAGTGTAATAGACTACATTGTCCGTAATACAATCAAAGAACATTGCAATGGGTGCCCCAGGAGAAACTGATAAATTAATATAATTATATAAATTAAATATCAATTTAAATATAAATTAATATATCAAATAGCAATCTCCTCTATCAATAAAGGTTACATAAAAAAATAAGTTGAAAAAGAACAATAATATTTTTTCATTTGAGGCTCCGTTTTCGTGGAATTTGGATCGAGACTAGATTCTTTAAATTGAATTTTACTTGTTCGTGTAGATTCTATAAATTGAATTTTTGCTATCAGAGAATACAATTCTATAAATCGAATTTCAGATATCAGGCTCGGTTCTATAAATTAAATTTCAGTCATCGGATTCGATTGCATCGATTGAATTTTTCATCTGTCAGGGCAATAATTCTACAAATTGAATTTTAAGAACAATATCTCACTTATTGGACTTAATACTTCCATCGTCAATGGGACTGTATTCATAGAATGACAGCGCAGTATCTATAAAAATTTCATCGAGCCATCAGTGGCTAGAAACCACAGGGTTTCGCGGAGGCTATAATTACACTTCATAATGCTCGTGTGAGTAAACGAATTAGTCGAATGTAGATAGTCATGGGTATACACTCACAGCGTGGGGTCTCACACATCATGGGGTGACCCGGTTCCCCAGGAATTATCTAGTCAATCACGAACCTTTTAAATTAATTTACCACTTCTTCGATCTTCTTCCCTATTGTTAAAACGTCGGCAGTGATTCACCCAACCTCGCTTCCACTCGCGGCCTAAGTCAATACGAGTGTGAGACAATTACATTTCCAATTTGAACTGAAAATAACTCAACATCATTGCAGCAAAATGCTGATCGCTGGTAAATATTCAACATCGTTTCATGAGATCACGAGTTATGCGAATCGTTCAATTTGGTTATTTATATATTTAAAGTCAATTAATTGCAGCTATTAAATTTTTTCAGTTTCTTTCTTCATAACTCGTGATCTAAAGAAACGATGTTGAATATTTGCCAGCGATCAGCATTTTACTGATATAGTATGTACTTTAAATGTTCAAAAGAAATTGAAAAAATGTAATAGCTGCAATTATATCATTTATACAGGGTGTCCCACAATTATTTTAACAGCCGAAAATGAGGGGTAGCTGAGGTCATTTGAAGTAACTTTTTCCTTTGCGAAAATGCAATCCACGGCTTTGTTTACGAGTTATTAACAAAAAACACTGGCCAATGAGAGGTGACGGTGCGAGAGAGAGGGTCCGCGAGAGAGTCCGCAGCACCAGGCTTTGACAG